GTGGAGAGGTATATATGTGGGGTGTTTACTCCATCAGCATTAAAGAAAAGGTATCCCTGAGGTGGTCAGTCCCCCAACCTTGACGAGTGTTCAGCTCCACAGCCTCGATCCCGTTGCATAGAACACCATTGAGCTTCCATAACTCAACACGAATAACGCTTGAGCTATAAGGCAAGACCGCTCCGCTGATCATCGAGAAAAGGTACCAAACCCGACACAAATGCCAGGAAGCTTCTCTGATCTGAACATGAAGTACAATGCAAGAGAACTGAGGAGCTTTCAGTTTAGCCAAAGCTTTAGCCCAACCTCGCATGCATTAACAAGTCATCGAAAAGGCCGGTAATCCTCCTGCAGAGCACCTGTCCCGCAGTTCACGCACGCTGTGACTTTCTTGCCCAGACATTGCCCTGAGCTTGTATAAATATGTTTATTGCTCCATGTGTTGTGACTGAACCCATTACACAGGCAAAAAGTCTATAAAATTCCTCTCTGGAAATTTTTTACTTTTTCCGCTTGTCCCCCCTTGTGCCATTTGTCTTCAAACTCTTGTGGAGTTTTCACACACTGTTACCTCAGAGTGTAATTACCATAAATTCTAGCCCAACGTCCCATTCTAGCATTGTGTATTTACAATGAAAGGCGCTAACTTTCGTCTAACCTAATACAACCTAACTAATTGTGGCTTCCGCCAGCGTTCCGTGATACGATCCATCACCTGGGTATCGTCAAGTGAGAACTTGGTAAAATGTTCGAATCACTTCCTGATAAGCCGGGCTGTGAAGTTTAAGGTTGTTTATGCTTCGTTTGAACCAATAGCCTGACTGATCAGGCAGCGAACCAGGAGGCCTGGTCTGTGACTGGGCCGCGGGAGAGATGTTCCATCGAATCTACAGAAGTTATACCGCTACAATATGTGCAATGCTGTTAGTATTGATGCTGTGATTACCATTAGAAACACTCACTGTATTCGGGATTCAGAACACCCACGGCACGCTATTCTTCTTTCTAAATCATAATTTATCACTCTGCTCTGGGCAAACTATTTTTTCAAATTACATTTGGATTAAAGCAGTCATAGGCACACACACGTAAGAGAAAAATGCAAAAAAAAAAAAAAAAAAAAAAGTGTGCAGAACATGGTTTTGTTAGTTTCAAAGATAAGTTTATGTGTAAATGCCGTTGACATGACCAACAGGGAGGCCTGAAACAGTGTAGTATGGAAATTAATGGAAGTAACGTTAATGTTCATGGTCTTGAATTTAATGCCCGTATGTAAACACATTGTTACCACAATTTGTGTCCGAGGTATTTTAGTATACCAAGACAATGTTACCACAGTTGAGCGCAAATGTTTTACAGATGTAAATTTGTAAACGAACACTATTGATGTATTGATGAATCATTCTGCAGTGTCGATGAAAAAACATGTTAACACACTAACTGAATTTCTTAACATAGGCAAGAGAATGAGATACTAATCACTTAATAATGAGTCTTGGGCGAAAAGTAGTTTATTTTTTTAATATTGCTACTTCGTGGGTTGTGTGTGTGTGTGTGTGTGTGTGTGTGTGTGTGTGTGTGTGTGTGTAAGGTCAGTTATACTCAGCAACCCAGTTTTATTAACTGCAATCGATATTTATTTTGATGATACCCTTCCTACACTCACTGTGACTAGTTGGAACATTGATGATAATGTTGGTGATGATAGTGATGATGATGTACAGGTTTCTCCACTTGGAAGGAGAATGGAATGGGTGAGGAACAGTAAATGGGGATGGAAGAGAGTGGACGGGAGGGTAGAAGGAGGTTCACTTTGGGAAGAGGCGTCATACATACTTATGTATGAGGTTTATAATTATTATAATCATGGGGGAGCGCTAAACCCGTAGGATTATACAGAGCATCAGTGAGGGGGATTGGAATGGAAGGTATTCAGGCTCAATCCAGGGAACCGGAGCACAGATCCGATTACCTAGATTAAGAGCCCCTCACCAGCGTCAAAGAACTTCCCTTGAGGGGATATGTATGAGGAGACGGACCAAACTTGTCTGCTGTTACTCCTCTACCAGCAGCAGCAGCAGCTGCAGCAGCTGCTGCTGCTGCCACCGCCGCCGCCGCCATTTCTACAAACCGTACTACTAAGCCTATAATAACAGCTACCATTACTACTACCATAACTTTGTTATTGGTACAAATACTATTACTACTACTTTCAGGGGAACTCATTCCTCCTCATCAGAAGTATGGAGAAAGAAATTATTAATAACCGAGAAAAAAAGAATAATGAAAAAATTAAAAAGTATTTAATTATACATAAAAAAAGCAAGTTAACCGCCGTTGGTTCAAGTGAGATCTTGAGAGATTTTTCTTAACCCAGAAGATGTTCTGAAGATGTAATGATGTGAAGTTCGTTATCCTGGGTAGGTGATGGTAGTCTGATGATAAGTTCTCGTCATTTCTGGTTCGCATAATCTCACTCCAGACCACCAAGGAGAGATGAGGAGTCGCTATGTCTTACTAAGTCTCACCGCTCGGGATCTCGCTCCAAAATGTTCAGCATCTAGCGTGACTGACCACTCCAGCAGCAATGAAAAAAAAAATACTGGTTACAAGATGGTTATTAAGTATAACACTGAGGAAAGCAAAGGGTGGTCATTGTACTTCAATGCCTTTACTCGTAATCCCAGCCTCCCACCCACACCAGGTAAGGTTAATACTACCAGGAGTAGAAACTAAAGAAACTCAGACCAGATGAAATCTGGCTTTTTACAGCGGCCTGCTAGATGGCAGTGCGAGCGACGACACACTGTAACAGTCTACTGTAGTCTGAAATACCATAAACCCAATTTACCGACTATTCCCTCACACTACTCCTTCATCTTCGATACTCAAGTATACCTGGAGTATACTTGGAGGGAGTTTCGGGGGTCAACGCCCCCGCGGCCGGTCCGTGACCAAGCACAATAAGTGTCCGGGGCCCAAGACTGTTCAATTGCCTCCCAGCATACATAAGGGGAATTACCAATAGATCCCTGGCTGTTTTCAAGAAGGCACTGGACAGGCACCTACGAAAGTAAAAGACTCGACAGGAGATGCAACATTTTCCCAATGAAAAGCAGAGGCACCATGAGTACACTGAGAGACAACACAACAAGTGTCAGGGGCCCAAGATTGTTCAACTGTCTCCCTGCACACATAAGGGGGATTACCAATAGACCTGTCCAACGCCTTCTTGGAGCTGGACAGGCACCCAAAGTCAGTACCTGATCAACCGGGCTGTGGTTCGTACGTCAGCTTGTGAGCGGCCAGCAGTAACAGCCTGGTTGATCATACCCTCATCCACCATGAGGCCTGGTCTCAGACCGGGCCGCGGGGGTGTTGACCCCCGAAACCCTCTCCAGGTAAACTCCAGGTAAGCCTCGTGGTGGATCACGGCCTGATCAACCAGGTTGTTACTGCTGGTCGCACGTTAACCGACGTATTGTTTTTCATCCAGATGAAATTTAGAAATCCAACTTCGGATAAGGATTTAGAAATCCATCTTCAAATAAGGATTTAGAAATTCATCTTCAGATATGGATTTAAAACTCCCATTTCAGATAAAATTTTAGAAATCCAACTTCAGATAAGGATTAAGAAATCCCACTTCAGATAAGGATTAAGAAATCCCACTTCAGATACCTGGAATATACCTGGAGAGGCTTTCGGGGGTCAACACCCCCGCGACCCGGTCTGAGACCAGGCCTCGTGGTGGATGAGGGTCTAATCAACCAGGCTGTTACTGCTGGCCGCACGTAAACCGACGTAAGAACCACAGCCCGGCTGATCAGGTACTGACTTTGGGTGCCTGTCCAGCTCCAAGAAGGCGTTGGACAGGTCTATTGGTAATCCCCCTTATGTGTGCAGGGAGACAGTTGAACAATCTTGGGCCCCTGACACTTATTGTGTTGTCTCTCAGTGTACTCATGGTGCCTCTGCTTTTCATTGGGAAAATGTTGCATCTCCTGTCGAGTCTTTTACTTTCGTAGGAAGTGATTTTCGTGCGCAAGTTTGATACTAATCCCTCTAGGATTTTCCAAGTGTATATTATCACGTATCTTTCTCGCCTGCGTTCCAGGGAATACAAATCAAGGGACTTCAACCGTTTCCAGTAATTTAGGTGCTTTATCATACATACGTGTGTTGTGAAAGGTCTCTGTACACTCTCCAGAGCAGCAATTTCGCTTGCCCACTTCAGATAAGGATTTCGAAATGCCACTTCGGATAAGGATTTAGTAATCTCACTTCAGGTAAGGATTTATAAATCCCACTTAAGGTAAGGATTTAGAAATCCATATTAAGATAAATATTTAGAAATGTCACTTCACGTAAGGATTTGGGAATCCCACTTCAGATAAGGATTTAGGACTCCCACTTCAGATAAGGATTTAGAAATCCTTCTTCAGATGAGGATTTAGGAATCCCACTTCAGATAGTTTCCTTAATGACGCCAACGAGATCTTGGGCAATTAGAGATTATTTCCTACCCTAATTAACTAGATCAGTAATTAAGGTACGGGAGCCTACCGGGATTGATTTTGTCTTTAATGGTGAAGTGGTTGGATAGTTGATGTCATCTCTCTCCCACTCTCTCTCTCTCTCTCTCTCTCTCTCTCTCTCTCTCTCTCTCTCTCTCTCTTTAAATAAATAAATAAATTAATTAATAAATAACACGCTGTATTAGGTAATAATTTAAAAAGCAATTTTTATTATATGTATCCTCAAGCCTCTCTCTCTCTCTCTCTCTCTCCCTCTCTCTCTCTCTCTCTCTCTCTCTCTCTCTCTCTCTCTCTCTCTCTCTCTCTCTCTCTCTCCTCTCTCTCTCTCTCTCTCTATCTATCTATCTATCTATCTATCTATCTTTCCATCTCTCTTGCCTTCTTCTTCACCATTTATCCATCTTCCCTCGCCCTCTTTCACTCTCACAATACGCTCCTCACGATCCTGTATTTTCTTCACAGATCTGGAGGACATCTCTACGCAGATCTTGAGGATATTCAAGGACTCCTAAGATATCATGCCAACTTCAAGACCAGTTACGGAAACCCTGGAGTCTTCGTGAAGCCTTGATGCAGAAATTCTCAATAATAATTTACCCTTCTGGAAGATGCCGTTGGGGTCTTCCGGGTTCGTTCTTCGTGCAAAAGCTTTGTTTATTAGTCTTTAGCCATCTAAAGCTTTTAGAAAACATCTGTCATCTTAGATCTCATTGCCAAAACTTTAAAAATGAGGGAATGTCTGTCAGGGCCCACAGTAATTGTCTGAAAGAAAGGTATTTTTTTTTTCATTTTAAACACCTGTCCATAAAATCTCGATTAAGAGATTCTTTCTCAACGACTCTTTCGCCTTCTCTTTTCCTTTATAAGATGTCTGGAGGGGGAGGTTTTCTCTTCTATGATTCCTTGTGTTACAAGATTTCTGCAGTGGGAGGCTTTCTCTTCTATGATTCCTTGTGTTACAATATTTCTGCCATTGGATGTTTTCTCTGCTATGATTCCTCGTGTTACAAGATTTCTGCAGGGGGAGGTTTTCTCTTCTATGATTCCTTGTGATACAAGATTTCTGAAGGGGGAGGTTTTCTCTGCTATGATTCCTCGTGTTACAAGATTTCTGCAGGGGGAGGTTTTCTCTTCTATGATTCCTTGTGATACAAGATTTCTGAAGGGGGAGGTTTTCTCTTCTATGATTCCTCGTGTTACAAGATTTCTGCAGGGGGAGGTTTTCTCTTTTATGATTCCTCGTGTAAGTCATAAAACAAGAGACATAAATTCTTCAGCTCAGGTGGGTCGTTCGGCGCAAGAAACAGGGAAGACTCGATCCTCCCTTTTGTTAATAGTTACAGTCTTCTCTCGTGGAGCTTCTGAAGACTCTTCCATAAATATCTCGAAAAATTATCCGTTTATTATGGGTTTCTTTCAGGGGAAGTTAAAAAAAAAACCCAGCCCAGCCATTTTATATTTTTATACAATTAGTTTTTGTTTATACTTACTGAAAGTCCAGTATTACACTTTGTCTTAGACTAGCAGTAGAAACTAATATTTTTATTATTAAGTAGTAAGTAAAATGATAAAGCTGGAAAAAGCACTTAAAAACTAATTGTTGTTATTGTCATTATTATTATTATTATTATTATTATTATTATTATTATTATTATTATTATTATTATTATTATTATTATTATTATTATTATTATTATTATTATTATTAAGCTATTTTTTTTCTATTTACAGTGCAGCTGAGAAGGAGAAACGTTACAGACGAGCTGATAGAAAGAAACATTTACAAAACAGCTGAGCGTAAAGGTCATTTACAGACCAGCTGAGTGAAAGCAACATTTACGGACCAGCTGAGTGAAGGCAACATTTACGGACCAGCTGAGTGAAGGCAACATTTACAGACCAGCTGAGTGAAAGCAACATTTACGGACCAGCTGAGTGAAGGCAACATTTACGGACCAGCTGAGTGAAGGCAACATTTATAGACCAGCAGAGTGAAAGCAACATTTACGGACCAGCTGAGTGAAGGCAACATTTACGGACCAGCTGAGTGAAGGCAACATTTACAGACCAGCTGAGTGAAAGTAACATTTACAGAAAAGCTGAATGTAAGAAATATTTGCAAAACGGCTGAGAGTGTAAGAAACATTTACTAAACAGCTGTATTTTTGACCATTTGTTTGCGTTTACGAATATAAGCCAACTGAAGTCTAATGGAAAATTTAAATAGCATTGAAGTTAAGAAAAATACTGTATGTATAATATACAACTGATGAGTTACTATGTTAAAACCAAAACAAAATATTACCTTTCAAAATGTTATACATTTTTTTTGAGAAAAAAATATTAGTGATATTGTAGTTATGTTGATAAGATTTGGGGAATATTTAATTAATAAGAGCTTGACATCGAGAATTTAATTAAAAAAAATTAAGTTCATTACCTAAAATCAGGAAGATTTTTTATTTTTGGGGGGGAGGGGAGAAATAATTTTAAGTGTTAAATCTTAGTAAAAAGTCTTGGAAAGTTGTGTAGGAGCAAAAATCACGACAATATTGAAAAGAAAATAGGGAAGAAAATGTGGAACACCGGAGAAGAGAAAAGAATTGAAGCTGACGAACCAAGATACATTATTGACAATCCTGTTTTGATCCCTGGGACAGTGTGATTTAAAAAAAAATATATATATTTATATATATAGAGTTTGGGAAATATTTTCGGAATATCTAGAGTCGTACCCCAATGGAACTATGGCTTACATCGAGGAAGATCTGGCCAATTGATCTTCATCGTTTTCCCCTCGGATCCTGTTCAGTCTTCATTGACAGGGGTAATCCGCTCATCTACGTTTCCTAATCCTGGTGTAGTGGTGATTGTTCCCTGATAAGAACAACTTGGTTAAATTGTTCCCGTAGCCGCGATCATCAGAGCTTTGTGCGTATTATCGTCGTCTGAAGTTTCCAATCTGTTTTGTGTTAAATTATTAGTAAGGTAAACGCGATCTTGCGTGTGAAATAACTAACTTGTGACTTAAAAATGAGTACAGTACCGTTTAATAGTTTGTAAACATTAGGGAGGAAAGAAGGTCCTCAAAGCTTGCTTAATCGTGAAGCATCAGAATGGTATTTAATTTTCTTGGTTTTGTAGCGCAAGTACTGCAATGCATGCCAGATGGAGACAAGAACTACTCGCCTGTAATCTCGTCAGGAAAACCAGTGAGTAGGTTAGTCATCCCATCTACCGCCATCCAATAACTACGGTGTCTATGCGTCTTATGTATACCACCACCACCACCCAAACACGACGCAGAGTAATTTTTCCGCGCACTGCCACCATCCATCAACCGCAACCATCAATAGCAGTATGACACTCATTTACGACGACCACCCTTACGCGCAGCTCCTGCAGAACCTCTCCCTCAGCTATCCGGACATCGACTGGAGTTACATCAACCTAACCAACCTCACCTTCCTTCTGGACTCGAGCGAGGGCAGCAACGACTTCGACTCCAACACCACGGCTGGTACGGTCCTCTACGAGGTACCAACGGGAATCGTCGTCCTTCTCTCCATCTTCTACGGGTCCATCTCCCTGGTAGCTGTGGTGGGCAACGCGCTGGTGATGTGGATCGTCGCTACTTCCCGTAAGATGCACTCTGTCACCAATTACTTCATCGCCAACTTGGCTCTAGCAGACATCATCATCGGACTCTTCGCTATTCCATTTCAGGTGAGCACAGTGATATTAGCGCAGTCACATGTCGCAGAAAAACAAGGATGATTTATCAGGACAGCGTTTAGTTCCGTGTAGAGTTTTATCATGTCATGCAAAAGATTAATGTAGGAATATTTAAATAGTCTGAAAACTGTGAACTAAATTAAATACTTTTTTGCACTATGTTGTTCACTGACGTAATCTGGGTGGAATACAAGCTCTTAAAAAAATCTCTATATTATCCACTGACACTTGTCGGCAATACACCATGCCAATGAAGCCCATTGAAGTTGAGGAGGTAAGAGGTTTAAGAAATAAAAGGAGAGATATGAAAGTTAATGGACGCTAGGAAAGGTGAATGTACAAGTGGAAAGATGAATATTAGGGGGAAAATTAGATGGTTGAACTGGTGAAGAAAAGAAACACTTTGCCGAATAAGCTTTGATTGGGACGTCAAACTGATGAACACGTTTGATATATTTTTGAAGAGTTCAGAGTTCTACTGCTGTAGATAAATGATTCAGAGAACCGACAAGTTGATAAATTAGACACATGTGCAATACTTGGGAATCTTCATTGAAGAAACGTTTCACCACACAGTGGCTTCATCAGTCCTATACAAAGAAGAATGGTGAAGATAAGAAGGAGTTTGAGGTAATCAGTCCCTCAGCCTATTCTATTCTATTTGATTTGCCGGTATGGATCCCGGCCTGGGTCTCTTCCAATTTGGTGACCCGGCAATGGCTCCCCGGTAGGGAAGTGTCGTTTATCTTTCCTTGTACATGCGTGGCAGTTCTTCGGCGGGAAGGGGGGGGTACCTCTCTGGCTCTATGGCCAAATGACATACCAAAAGCTAGTGTCCCTCAGCCTGAAGTCCACATAATCAATAGATCACTCCAGGCTGAGGGACTGATTACCGCAAACTCCTTCTTATCTTCAGCATTCTTATTTGTATTTGACTGATGAAGCCGCTGTGTGACGAAACGTTGCCTCAATAAAGATATCCATGTGTGCCACATGTGTGTATTTTCTCAGTATTACCGCTCCCGGAGCGCGGCTTCGTCCAGGCTGGATGAGTAGATGTCATGTATATATGTTTATAGTTTAGCACATAAATGATGGAAGGAAAGGTTGTGTGGGCGTATAAATGGCTGGAGGGAAAAACGGATGAATATTTACCTGGATCAGTGAATAACTGGATTGGCGATTGGGCATGTTAACTGACAGTTCGATGGATGGATAATTAGTTGTTTCGATGATCTGATAAACGATTTAATAGATGTATCCGTGAATAGACATCAAATATACAAAAAATCATGGGTAATACAGTCATTAAAAAAACTGTTAGATCAACAAAAATTGTTTTAACAATAAATTTTCACATATCTGCAACTGATGTGTAAATCTATAAACATTTGGGTGAGGACGATTCTGATAGTTGATTAAAATTTTCTAGAAATTGAATTAATGTTTAATTTAATTTGTTAATGTTTTTCCTCTAAAAAATAATATTTACAGCCGGGAGTGGAAGTATTTATAAAGTTTGTTGAATTGGAGGGATTAAAGAGGAGGACAAACGCACACATACACACACACACACAGACACACAGACACACACACAGACACACACACACACAAACACACACACACACACACACACACACACAGTACACACAACACACACACACACACACACACACACACACCACACACACACAGACACACAGACACACAGACACACACACACACACACCACACAACACACCACACACACACACACACACACACACACACACACACACACACACACACCACACACACACACAGACACACACACACACACACACACACACACACACACACACACACACACACACACAAACACTTCAGTAAAGGACGAAGAAGTAAGAGTGGATTGAACCAGAGAAAGTACACGACTGCTCGAATTCCCAGCTGTTATGCTTGCTCTATCACATCTGAGAGCTGCAGGCAAGAGCTTTCCTTGAGGCTCAGGGAGCTGCATCTTGAAGCTCTCGTAGCTGCATCTTGAAGCTCTAGTAGCTGCATCTTGAAGCTCTCGTAGCTGCATCTTGAAGCTCTCGTAGCTGCATCTTGAAGCTCTAGCAGCTGCATCTTGATGCTCAGGCAGCTGCATCTTGATGCTCAGGCAGCTGCATCTTGAAGCTCAGGCAGCTGCATCTTGAAGCTCAGGCAGCTGCATCTTGAAGCTCAGGCAGCTGCATCTTGATGCTCAGGCAGCTGCATCTTGAAGCTCAGGCAGCTGCATCTTGAAGCTCAAGCAGCTGCATCTTGAAGCTCAGGCAGCTGCATCTTGAAGCTCAGGCAGCTGCATCTTGAAGCTCAGGCAGCTTCATCTTGAAACTCAGGCAGCTGCATCTTAAAGCTCAGGCAGCTGCATCTTGAAGCTCAGGCAGCTGCATCTTGAAGCTCAGACACCTGCATCTTGAAGCTCAGACACTGCATCTTGAAGCTCAGGCAGCTGCATCTTGAGACTCAGGCAGCTGCATCTTGAAGCTCAGGCAGCTGCATCTTGAAGCTCTAGTAGCTGCATCTTGATGCTCAGGCAGCTGCATCTTGAAGCTCAGGCAGCTGCATCTTGATGCTCAGGCAGCTGCATCTTGAAGCTCAGGCAGCTGCATCTTGAAGCTCAGACACCTGCATCTTGAAGCTCAGGCAGCTGCATCTTGAAGCTCAGGCAGCTGCATCTTTATGCTCAGGCAGCTGCATCTTGAAGCTCAGGCAGCTGCATCTTGATGCTCAGGCAGCTGCATCTTGAAGCTCAGGCAACTGCATCTTGAAGCTCAGGCAGCTGCATCTTGAAGCTCAGGCAGCTGCATCTTGAAGCTCTAGCAGCTGCATCTTGAAGCTCAGGCAGCTGCATCTTGAAGCTCAGGCAGCTGCATCTTGAACTCAGGCAGCTGCATCTTGAAGCTAAGGCAGCTGCATCTTGAAGCTCAGATACCTGCATCTTGAAGCTCAGGCAGCTGCATCTTGAAGCTCAGGCAGCTGCATATTGAAGCTCAGGCAGCTGCATCTTGATGTTCAGGCAGCTGCATCTTGAAGCTCAGGCAGCTGCATCTTGAAGCTCAGGCAGCTGCATCTTGAAGCTCAAGAGCTGCAGTCTTGAGCTCAGGCAGCTGCATCTTGAAGCTCAGGCAGCTGCATCTTGATGCTCAGGCAGCTGCATCTTGAAGCTCAGGCAGCTGCATCTTGAAGCTCAGGCAGCTGCATCTTGAAGCTCAGGCAGCTGCATCTTGAAGCTCAGGCAGCTGCATCTTGAAGCTCAGGCAGCTGCGTCTTGAACTCAGCTAGCTGCATCTTGAAGCTCAGGCAGCTGCATCTTGAAGCTCAGGCAGCTGCATCTTGAAGCTCAGGCAGCTGCATCTTGAAGCTCAGGCAGCTGCATCTTGAAGCTCAGGCGAGCCATGGCATCTTGATGCTCAGGCAGCTGCATCTTGAAGCTCAGGCAACTGCATCTTGATGCTCAGGCAACTGCATCTTGATGCTCAGGCAGCTGCATCTTGATGCTCAGGCAGCTGCATCTTGAAGCTCAGGCAGCTGCATCTTGAAGCTCAGGCAGCTGCATCTTGATGTTCAGAGCTGCATCTTGATGCTCAGGCAGCTGCATCTTGATGCTCAGGGCTAGTCTCATCTTGATGCTCAGCAGCTGCATCTTGAAGCTCAGGCAGCTGCATCTTGAAGCTCATGCAGCTGCATCTTGAAGCTCAGGCAGCTGCATCTTGATGCTCAGGCAGCTGCATCTTGAAGCTCAGGCAGCTGCATCTTGAAGCTCAGGCAGCTGCATCTTGAAGCTCAGAGCAGCACTGTCCATCTCTTGAATGCTCAGGCAGCTGCATCTTGAAGCTCAGGCAGCTGCATCTTGAAGCTCATGCAGCTGCATCTTGAAGCTCAGGCAGCTGCATCTTGATGCTCAGGCAGCTGCATCTTGAAGCTCAGGCAGCTGCATCTTGATGGAAGCTCTTCGAAGGGCAACTGAGTATATGCTTACACTCACTCCTTATATGACTGGTGAGTTCCATTGGATCTGGTGGCTTCTTCGACTTGTGGCTCCTTGGACTGGTGGCTCCTTGGTTTAGTGGTTCCTTGGCCTGGTGACTCCTTGGACTGGTGACTTCTGGACTGTTGAGCTCTGGATGGTGACTCTTGAACTCGGTGATCCTTGATGTGGCCTGCACTTGGGTTTTTGGCTCCTTGGATTGGTCAGGCAGCTGCTTTGATTTCTGGCATCACTTGGGTGCTCCCGGCAGTGCATCCCTTGACTGGTGCTCCTTGAACTCTGCAGCTCCTTGAACTGGGGCTCTCTTGAGCTCTGGGCTGCTCTTGGTCTGGTGATTCCTTGGAGCTGGTAGTGCCTTGATGCTGAGCTGCATCTTGAAGCTCATGGCAGCTGCATCTTGAAGCTCATGCAGCTGCATCTTGAAGCTCGGGCAGCTGCATCTTGAAGCTCATGCAGCTGCATCTTGAAGCTCATGCAGCTGCATCTTGATGCTCAGGCAGCTGCATCTTGAAGCATAGGCAGCTGCATCTTGATGGGATAGCTTCGAAGGGCAACTGAGTAAGTGCTTACACTCACTTCCTTATATTGACTGGTGGTTCCTTGGACTGATGGCTTCTTGGACTGGTGGCTCCTTGGACTGGTGACTCCTTGGACTGGTGGTTCCTTGGACTGGTGGCTCCTTTGACTGGTGGCTCCTTGGACTGGTGATTCTTTGGACTAGTGACTCCTTGGACTGGTGGCTCCTTGGACTGGTGACTCCTTGGACTGGTGGCCCCTTGGACTGGTGGCTCCTTGGACTGGTGATTCCTTGGACTGGTGACTCCTTGGACTGGTGGCTCCTTGTACTGGTGGCTCCTTGGGCTGGTGACTCCTTGGACTGGTGGCTCCTTGGACTGGTGACTCCTTGGACTGGTGGCTCCTTGGACTGGTGGCTCCTTGGACTGGTGACTCTTTGGACTGGTAGCTCCTTGGACTG